TGGTCCCCTTGCAGCAAGCCCCGCCCCCAGGAATCAGGCCCCGCTCTTGCTAAAGCCGGCCCTGGGTAGGACTATTGATGGAGCTGGCTTCTGGGAGAGGAAATCCAGGAAACTGGGAGAACCTGTTGCTCTGAAAGAGGCTCAGAGAAACTTCAGCTCCCCTGGGGGAAACATAGGCGCCGATTCGCCGACTCTGTGGGTGCTCTGGGGCTGGGGCACCCACAGGGAAAAAAAAATGTGGGTACTCAGCACCCACCTGCAGGCCCCGCAGATCAGCGCCTGCCCCTTCCCCTCAGCGCCTCCCACCTGCTGGTGGCCCCACCGATCAGCTCCTCCCCCTCCCTCCCAATGCCTCCGGCCCACTGCAGTCAGCTGTTCAGCGGCGTGCAGGAGGCGCTGGGGGGGAGGGGGTGGAGCAGAGGAAGGAAGAGGCAGGGGGGATGGGGTGGGAAGAGGCAGAGCGGGGGTGGGGCCTGGGACGGAGCGGAGATTGAGCTCCCCCCCGGCATCTGAGTAAGTTGGCACCTATGGGGGGAAAGATCAATTTAGTCTGAGAAGAAAAGGATTGAATTAACCGACGTCAGAGTGTTTCCTACCTTGTATTTCTGAGCAGCCTCTTCCACGAGCAGCACTCTGTGAGATCTGTGCTGGGGGGATCTCCAACAAGCCACACACACGGCTTCCCCGTCCTCCTCGCAGAACAGGTCGAGGTTCTCCTGGTGCGTCTCACACAGATTCTCTTTGCTAGGATTTAATTCCAGTTGTCGAATTTTCCCTACTATGTTCCCCAGCTGCCAGTTGTGCCGGAGGTTCCCTTTCTGGATCCAGTGTCTGCAGACGGGACACTCCAGGGGGCCATATTCTTCCCATTTGTCACAGTAGTTACTGATGCAGCCCTGGCAGAAGTTGTGCCCACAGTCCATGGTCACGGGGTCCGTTAGATACTCCAGGCAGATGGGACACTTGGTTTCCTCTTGGATTCCCTGTACAGGAGCCGCTGAGGCCATGGCCGCTGGGATCACCAATGTGTTTTCTGGCCTCTTCCTTTAAGCCACACGTGGATGGGAGAAAAAGTTCAGTGAGAGGCATATGGGGGAAAAGTGGGGCATGACAGGGAGAAGTTGAGATAAAGTTGGTTGGGATTGAAGAAGAGAACGGGCAATGCCTGTTTCACACTCGCTCTGGAGAATTGGGTGTCTCTCCATAATGGGGGCTGTAAGTCTCTCTCTGCCACGAGCCCTTCTTCCTTCCTTCTGCACCAATGTGTGTCCACACCGGCCCTCTCCACTTGCTAAACCCAGACCGATCTGAGCCCCTCTCCTTTTAGTGCACAGAAGCGGCTCCCTCAATGGAACTGACCCAGTGAATAACCCAGTGCACCTCTTGCTACAGCCTGTCCCAGCTGTACTAGAAGGAGAGAGCCTGAAACATGGGGCCTGGTTCAAGGCCTGAGGCCTGAACTAAAGTGAGCAAAAATCAGGCCCTGCTGATATAAAGCAAAGTTATCAAGAGAACATAAGGATGGCCATACTGGGTCAGACCAATGGTCCATATAGCCCAGTACCCTGTCTTTGGAAGACAGGATACTGGGCTAGATGGACCTTTGGTCTGACCCAATATGGCCGTTCTTATGTTCTTCCAACAGTGGCCAATGCCAGGGGCCCCAGCAGGAATGAACAGAACAGGGAATCATCAAGTGATCCATCCCTGGTCGCCCATTCCCAGCTTCTGGCAAACAGAGGCTAGGGACACCATCCCTGCCCATCCTGGCTAATAGCCCTCGAGGGGCCTATCCTCCATGAATTTATCTAGTTATTTTTTTAACCCTGTCATAGTCTTGGCCTTCACAACATCCTCTGGCAAGGAGTTCCACAGGTTGACTGTGCATCGTGTGGAAAAAAAAATACTCCCTTTTGTTTGTTTTAAACCTGCTGCTTATTCATTTCATTGGGTGACCCCTAGTTTATGTGTTAGGAGAAGGCGTAAATAACACTTCCTTATTCACTTTCTCCACACCAGTCATGATTTTATAGAGCTCAATTGTATCCCCCCCTTAGCCGTCTCTTCCCCAAGCTGAAAAGTCCAAGTCTTATTAATCTCTCAGGCTATGAGCCAAAGTCAGGTACATGAAGTTGGCAAAAACCACAGGCACTCCCAAGAAATATTAGGCGCAGGGTATTCATGTAGGCACATTCCAAAAGATGCAGGTACCCCCTGACATAAAGGAGTGGCATAAACACAATGGTAGGAAATGGAACAGGAACACACCAAGCCCAAGTGAAACAAGGACGGGAGGACAGGACAGGATGAAAATGTTTTGTTCGAACCAGCAGGTACAAGGTGTAGGGTGGTAACTAACCTCGTCGGGGGCAATACGTAGCTTGTTTGTATCCGTGTATAAAAGAGGGGCTGCAGAGGGGGTGTCTTTGTCCAGCTGGGGGGGATGGCAAGTGCCCCCACTCACTCAGCTGAGTCCATTGTCAGGGGCATACAGGTCTTAGTGTCTCCGTAGAATTTTCCGGGCACTAGGACCATCTTTCGTTAACAATAAACCTGGCCAAGCGCCTTCGCTACTGACCTGACTCTGTGGTCTTCTTAGACAGGTCAGTCGAGGTCTGGTGTACCGACTACCTGGCCAGAGCTGGTGCAGCACACAGAGAGAACGCACACGCCGCCAACAACTGACACCACCAGCTGCCTGGACACCGAGGGCTGAGTTCACCCCGTGTCTGAGCTGAACTTCCTGAACAATTTGTGCCTGTTCTGCGCTGGGGCTGCCGGGCGTTTAGCCTAAA